TGAGACTCATTGTACTTTTTTGTATATTCTTTTTATGTAAATAAGCCAATTTATAGCTTCTATGTAGACATTCAAATTGAAACAGTTGAAACACAAAAAGTACAATTATTACTTCATTTATCTTCCACAAAAAGCTGATGATTATTGGATCATTATTGGCCCTAAAATTGCATCGCATCCCTCGGGTGTTCAATATTTATCGTCTATGATAATATCGTAATTGTGGTTTTGACAAAATGGGACCTGACATTATGACAATTTCATTTTTTTTTTAAATTGCATTTCAACATTCAAAATATTATTTTTAAAACATTAATCACATTATTTCATTGCAATTATTGTAATTATTTCACTGTATTTTAAGTGTAAATACATGTGTAAATAAATCTAAATGCTGCTTCAGATGCAGCTTCTGTGTCACTTCTGCTGTGCAAAAATGGATTTTGTTGATAAATGAATTTATTTATTAAATGTACGAATTTGACATAAAAGAGACATCTAATAAGTTTAGAAAAAAAGCCCCTATAACCTCATAATGCAAATGGCCAAAGTACGCAACACACATCATCATAGTACACATCACTGGGAATCACGTCTTGCACAGGAAGTGGATGGGCATCTTTGTGGGAGGAGCTTACAGCCTATCACTATCACTTTGCTGACTTCACTCTCTGAGGTCAGTTGTGTGGCTTGGGTTTGCTTGTCCTCAACATCACAGCTGTCAGCATTACACTGACATCTTGACTATATGGATTTAGCAGAATAATGGCTCCTCCCAGTTCTCATTATCACAACATTCAAGCACTGCGTTTGATTCATTTATTCTGTGCAATTCTGCCTGAACTAAAATTACCCAGTGCTTTGTGATAGATTGAGATTGAGGCGTCCAATCGACAGCCACAGAGAGGCCTGTAATCGTGCCGAGCGATGCAGACTGTTCTGTTCCAATTTGTAAATCCGTCAAGAAACTTAATCCATGTGATATATTAGCAGAAAGTGAAAGACAAAACCAAGAAAACAGTGTGGCGCACATTGATTTTCTCTCAGGAATATTAATGGATGGCTCCTCCCCCAACACGATACAGATCAACTGCTTCCATACACACACAGAGCCATAAATAGACACATATGCATATCTCAGCAAATCAGCCTCAAGAACACTAGATATACTGTCAGGACTCCAATCACGTAAAAATGCCATTATTCTTTCAAAATTCAGACAGCAAAGTCTTGGTGAATTTAATAAATGGCTATGTTAGAGCCACTCCAGCAACTAAATCAAAGATTTACTGTATTCTCTGTGCCAGCGCTGAATTTTTCCCACACCGACCATATCAGAGATAACCTCGTAAATTTGGTGCCCTAGAATGTCGGTATACTGATGTGCACTTCCAATCAAGACAAAAATGGCAGGCAAGTTTACAAAGCAACGCCTGCCAAAAGCCATCCAACACCCTATGAAATTACAAACTCTATCTTCATTCATGCAGCAGATGCCAAATTCATTCTGAAACAGACGCTTTGTTCATTTTATCAGTCTCTATATTTGTCAATCAAACACTAAAGACCTTCACATGCCTGGTTCAGTAAGGCTGTCACTGCAGTTGGTTAAAAGTTATATGAGCTACATGGAATGTATGTCACATGACCTAGTGATCATTGAGCGCTTACCTCTGATTCCTCTTTCCCACACACTGTTAGCAACAGCTGGGCTTTCATAGTGTGACTAGCCTTCCAGCACATTGACTTGCCTCTCTTAACTCTGTAAACACACTGACAGCTCATGTGAGTGATTCCCTTCGGCTGGACTCATAAAAGCAGTCTGTTGATATTAAACTGCCTGCACTTGTGAAATTATAAAACTGTGTGCAATACAAGTCCAGGAATATACAGCGTACAAAACTGTTTTCTCTTGGGAGGAAAACAATTTTTGCTGAGGGATTAAGGACATCTCGAATATTAATAATTTATATTTATACATACATATCTTTCTCTTTGGAAGTTCTTCAAAAATAACTTTTAAATTGACTCCCAAAGCTATATGTTCTATACTTCAAAGACTCAAGGCCTTGAAATTAAATACAGCTGCCAGGATAATTTGTCAATTCTCATTCATACTGTTATGCAGCATATCAACTGTAAGATGATAAACACAATCAATAAATGGTTTCATGTACAGAGACTGGCTGAAACAACCAGCATGCATTTTCATACAAACACAAGGCATAGAGAGTATATATAAAATATGAAATATAACTTTCATCCACCTACTTCTATCCTAAATACTTCCAATGGGATGCCTGAAAGCGGCTGGGTATGGCGGACCATGTGCAGTGCCAGAAATCTGAGTGTCAGTACGTAGCCATTGGATCCTACCAATTTTAAAGATGGCTACAAGTACAAGTAATAGTGGTGCATGAATGCTGCATATCCTGTTTCACATACTGTAGCTTTTAAAGCCCTCAAAAATACAAATAAACATACTGCTAAACATGTCTCATAATAAGAATGGAATTCCAGAGAGGGGCGTTTCTGACAGTGTGAAGAATGTCTTTATAACAGCAGAATCGTATCTAGTCTAATATTTCATCTTCTACTGATGGGAACCACAAGTGGGTTTCTAGAGTCTGGTGATAGGGGACTTTGTATTTTCAGTTCATAAGATCTTACTCTATGTTGATAGATGAAACAGAAATGTTTTGCTGAGTGTGGTGAGCACGAGAGGTAAGTTGGTCAAAGTTAAGCCTGGTTCTTTTAAAGAGGAGGAAAAACTTGACTGATGTTCTTCTTGTATTGTGTTTAAAGGCAGGGTATGTGATTTTTCAAACGCACTTTAGAAAACTGATTCGGGCCGAATAGCAAAACAAACTTGTAGCCAATCAGCAATAAGGGGCGTGTCTACTCGTGATGTGGAGGAGAGAGCTTTCAGTGCATGGGATGGACATTAGCCGAGCCAAGCGACAGCAAGATAGAGATGGCGGATAAAAAACAAAAGAGGAAAACGTCTGCGGAACGATAAGACAAGAAGTAGGACCCGTGTAAATATCGGATCAGCTTTCCAGAGAACTCAAGGAGCGGAGGCCTGCGATCGGACGCCGAGGTTGCTTTGTTTCTTCTCAATAGGTGAGTAACACCGTGTCTACAACAACTAAAGTCTGCCTACACTGGACGCGAGAAAGAGGTCAAACGACCGTTGAAAACCATTTGAAATGTATGTCAGCACGTCATAAATAGAACCCGGCAGCAGTTTTCTGTCGGGGATTTGTTGCGCCGCGCCGCTCACATCCGTAGACACGGTGTAACATTGGTTTTGCTTTGTTTCACAGAACTAATCGTTGCCTGGGTTGCGTACGTATATGTGGGGCAGAGCTATCAAAATAGGGGCAAGACCCTTTTGGGGTAGGGCCGTGTTTGTTTTGGTGATTTCAAATATCAACATTGGCTACCAGAAATCGCTTACTCTGCCTTTAAGCACTGCAGTGTCTTCCAGCATGACACTGAAACACTTGAATCATTACATTAAAATGACTGGTTGTTTAATGTATTTTTCTTCACTTTTAAGTTGTTCCAATGCAATATGAAAAGCAATATGGAATATTTAACTAATTTACAATTTGACAGTCACTAAAAACAATTCAGAACAACATGTTACAATTAGCACAACATGTACCATAACTCTTGTCATATAGCACATAAAACAAATGCTGTTTTAAACAACAACATTACAGTAAGTGGGTGAATCACACAAAACATATCTAGAGAATCAAATCTAACTGAGAATAACAGGAATTCCTAAATTCTAGTAAATCTAGTAAATAGACTTCTTTTTGGGGGAGGGGTGTGGGTTGAAGTGGGGGTAGAGGTGTAAAATGTAACAGATAAAGACCCTTAACCCCAACAAAACCTTTGAAAGCAAACTGTGAAACACACACACACTGCATTCATTCTCAGATAACATCGTTAAGGGTAATTGACAAGTCACAATTATCACACAGTACATAACAATAGTCAAAGGTGAGATCTGAACCTACTGAGAATGAACTACAGGGATTTGTGAGAATGTGTTAAATACACACAGAGAATGAATACAAAGACTATTCAGACAATGTGTCTCCAGGAGGGACGCTCCATATGCTGTAATTAAAAAAGACACTGGGATGCCATACTTTTGCTGGGATAAATTGGTGTCTGCCTACATTCAACATAATTATGACCTTTGTAAGATAAAGCACTCAGTCACTTCATTCTCACAGCCAAACGAACAGCAAAAACAATATACATTAGCACAAACGAAAGCAAACTAAGATGCACCTTATATTATAAAAATTAGTAAGAAGATAAATTACAGTGTTACTAGTACAAATGTTGGAACACAACATTTTACGCATGAGGTCAGGAAATTAAAATAATAAAATGTAACTTTTAATCTTACTAGTACGATTTTTAACACATTTTACACATTAAATTGTAATGAGATGCTATTTAATAGTAACAACTGATGCTAACAAAATGTTACCGGTAAACAATGAAAGATACTTGTATCTCTCATGGTATCTTTTTAAAACTGGAAAAGGTACTAGTGACAAAAATACAATTCTATGTCAAAAACTGTAATCTGTCATCATTAATGCAACAGTCTCTTGTCACTGTTGGGATAGTGCCTATTAGTAAAGGAACAAGTTGGCTACTACTGAGTACTGAGTCTGACTTGTGAAAATTCTAGTCAGTTTGAACTAATCTAATGAAAAAGTAGCCTACCACCATCTAGTGAATAGTTAATAGTGAGTTTATAAAATACGCATAATGTCACTATACTGTAGGATTAATTACTAGTAAATAAAAAATAAATACTACAGTAACAAAAATAGCTAGTTATTTGTAAGCAAAGCATGTTAAAACAACTTTCCATAAACAAAACATCAAAGAATACACATGAAGCATCTGTAACGCTGAGGGCTCAAACTCGCACTAAAGTTTTCAAGCTGGTTTCAGTCACTCACCGTTGTCTGCGTGAAGAGCGCTTGAGCAACACCGTCCATAAAGAATCAACGCGTCTGAGGAAAGCGTCCTGGTATTTTCACTGCTTCCAAAGGCTTGTGAAGTTCACGCAGATCTGAGCCGCCCCCTCCCTCCCTCTCCCTCTCCCTCTCTCTCTCTCGCACACACACACACACACACACGATGCGCAACCTTTTTAACCCTCGTTTGTCTTTTGCAATTGGATAGGATGGTCCTATCTCCTTTAACCCCCTCTCCCTCTCCCTCTCTCTCTCTCTCTCTCTCTCTCTCTCGCTCTCTAAAGTAGGACAAACTCCCGTTGCTGAAGGTTAATACGCGCAGCCACTACACATCTCTGCGTCCATCCTCCTGGAAGCGACTGCTGCAAACTGCCTTGAATCCCGCTGCTGAGTGGCGCTGCCCCTCGCTCTAGCTCCGCGCTGGACCGCCGCTGGCGACAGAGAGCACCGCTGATCCGGAGCGACAAGCAGCCCGGCTGTGGGAGAGTGCCCACGCGCGGGGGCTCGCGACGGCCGACACGCTCAAGTTCAGCAAGCAACTTGAACTCTATTGTAATTCATGTTGCACCAACAGTAAACAGGCACTGCAGAGTCTGTTTACACGACGCGTTTAATGATGACGCTAGAATTAATCGACTACAAACATTTCGTATTAATAAAAACAAGAGTCATGATAAAAAAAGAAAATGTAGGCCTAGAGAGGACACGGGGAAGTTGTCAGAATTGTTGAATCTCTAGAGCTATACTGTTCTGACAAGGTTTTAAGTTCACATAAGGCAATATGTTAGGGTACCTTCTTATTGGGGGATGTTGTCACAGTAGGCTTATTATTTATTTTATAAATCTGTCCAGTTATTAGTTACAGTATTTGTTGCCCAAAATGATTTGATATTTTTGTTACAATTAGCTGTTTAATTAATTGTTTTATGCTTCATAATTGTTTTACTGTGTAAATCTGAAATAGGTTCTATTATGACAACTTACCCCTATGCCCTGTTTTTTTCAGAGCAATAAAAAAGAAAATAGGTACAAAACTGTCAGGGATTCTTTCAAACGGTACTAATACGTACACTTTATGTACTAATATGTGCTTAAAAAGTACTAATATGTACCTTTAGGGTACTAATTTATGGGTAAACAAAGTACAAAGATGTACCTTTTAGCTTTTGTACCTGAGGTTACTGCCCCATTGACAGCTTTGCACCCTTTTTTCTACACTCAAAGAACAGCAAAAACAGTTGCTGGTAGCCACTGACTTACATAGTATTTTTCCATAATAGGGAAGTCAATGGCTACCATCAACTCTTTGGTTACCAACATTCTTCAAAATATATTCTTTTGTGTTCAACAGAACTCATACAGTTTTGGAACGATATGTGGGTGAATCATTAATGACAGAATTTTCATTTTGGGGTGAGCTATCCCTTTAAAGGTATGTGTCTTGATTTTCATAAACAAATCCACCCTGAGAAAATAAACTAAAAGTGTGATAACTAGCCCTGGTCTTCCCTATTCAGCAAGACATATAACCATCTCCACCCATATTGACAATCCCACATATTGTTTATTGATTTCTGTAACAGTCTATTATACAGTCCTCTGGCCTGGAAGAGTCTTTGAAATATGACTCAGTACTGTTTGAAGGTAAAGAACTAAATAAGCACAAAGGTTGAGGCACAAAGAGCAAAGGAGTGGTATTTGTTATATCATGACGGTTCTTGTCCAGTGACTCTAGGCTTTTCGGGGCAAAACAGATTATTATTATTTTTTAAATTTGCCCGATCCTTTACATATTTCCAAAAGGTCACATCTGACAGCACATAGTTAGAGAAAGACTTTGATGAGTATGCATGTCACATCCCTGTCTGTTAATCAAAAATATACTTTATATGTAAATGTCTATATGTTGTACAGCAGTGTTGGGTAAGTTACTCTAAAAAAGTAATTAATTACTAGTTACTAATTACATCTTCAACAGTGTAATTTGATTACTGTACAAATTTCTCTCTCAAAAAAGTATTTAATTACTTATTACTAATTACTTTCTAAATCCTATATCAACCTCGACAAGTTAATGATGAAACGGTTCTTTTAACTCTTTCAAATAAATAATAGATAGCATACTAATTCTGGTCACACTTTAGATTAGAGTTCAATTCTCACTATTAACTTTTTCCTCAATATACTCCTAATTACTGCTTATTAATGCTTAGTAAAATAGTTGTTAAGTTTAAGAATTGGGTAGGATGAAGGCTTTAGAATAAGGTCTTGCAGAATAAGACATTAATATGTGTTTAAGTAATAATAAACAGCCAATATCCCAGTAATATTCATGCTAATAACCAACTAGTTAATATGTATATGAATGTTCTACAGACTATAAGTTCAATTACATAAGAAGTAACTGTAATTAAATTACAGAAAAAAACAAGAGTAATCCCTTACTTTACTTTTTCTAGGGAAAAGTAATTAAATTACAGTAACTAATTACTTAATAACTAATTACACCCAACACTATTGTACAGTATATACATACATATAGAAAGGTTGTGGGGGGCTTACCGGGGGTCTCAGCAGGACAACAAATATGTCTCATCATTCACTGTTTATAACCTGACTTCAAAGCCAGAAATATTGTTAAAGAAACCATGACTGAAGGCAGTAATGCTAAACAAACCATAACCAAAACTGAAAGAACACAGAAGATCTAATGACAAGTAGTCTGTATAGGATCTTAAAAAAAGAAGAAAAAAAGTATAATTTTCAATAACACTGCAACTGTATAGATCATACATAAATTGCACATACCTAGTTTTCAGATATTTAAAATATATATTAATTTGTTGCATTTTTAAATTATCTAAAAAATATATATGTATTATATAAGAGTATATAAATGAGTTAAAATTAATTTAAATTAAAATTGATTCGTTAATGATGATTGACTCTTATAACTGACCCAAATATGAAAAAAGTTATTTACCATTTGCAGTTTTATAAAGTGCAACTGCAGCTCTGGTGTAGAGCCAGGGTTGCCATAAACAAAAATAAAGGCTCTTAGTTCATACGAGTTCATTAAACTAAAACATCATGGGGCTCAATTAGACATTTAGTTTCAGAGCAACGTAGCAAGCCTGAAGGGATTCATTTGCATAATTCAAAACCTGTTAAATCAGCGGCGCGCACTGCAGCATAAACATTCTCACACGTACTGTACACCCTTGTACTGTATACGACCTCTCATACACAGCTCATCTCTTTGTCCACTAATCACTTCCCCAAAACTGTTTGGAAAAAAATAGGCCAATAACAGTTTATTTTTCTCCTCAGCTTGTTTTAAGCTCTGTTAATTGTTGCATTGTCCTTTTATTAAGACTTGTTTGCTAAATATGAGTAACAAAGTCAAACAGTGATTTCACACATTAAAAGTTGTAGAATAATTTACATAAGAATTTAACACAATTAGAGTATATATTCTGAACTTTTCTGTAAGCATAAGAAATCATACTCAGACTATTTTTATACCGGGAAGTGAATTTATAATAACTGAAGTTGCCTTTTGCCTGTTGAAATAGGATGACCATCAGTGTGAATGATTATTATACCCTGTAGACTCTCCAGAACTGTCACACATTATACAGCTGCAAAGTGCTTTGAGATAATTGTCCACTGTATACATACATGAAAGATTATTTAAATCAGTTTCAAGCCTTTCAATATGTATGTTACAGACACAACACTGTCTGGACATCACAGGACAAACTCCTCAGCAGATATTGTGTGAGGCATTAATATTGTCAGCTGGAAATGTGTTTCTATCTAATTTTCCTTCTCAGAAACTCTGAGAAACTATTCTGCAATCCGTCTTTAGTCTTAGAAAGTAACAAAAAGTGTAAACGTAATCTGTGGACCTGTTCCAAATAGGACATGACAGCCGGGGCATCTCATTTCTCCAGCCAATTTCTCCATCAGTACAAAATTCAAGACAAAGATGGATAGAGAGAAAGAAAGAGGGAGAGCAAGAGATAATGAGCTGTTTACCTTGCGGCTTCATTTAACTTTTCAAAGAGTCTCAGGTTCAGAGTTTGATGCATAAAGATAGACAGCTTTTGGAGTTGCGAAGTAGCTAAAAATAAGTGAGTGGTTCTTACTGCAAATTAAAAAAAATTAGTAAAATAAAATTGCATTATATAGAATGCAAAACACTAGCCATGTAATGATGCATGATGCAGAATAGGAAATTGCATTTTAAAATAAGCTTAAAATCGACCTTTAAATGGGACAAAACATTTACCATATCTTTTCGGATCAAACTCATAAATTCTGGTGCACATTCACCTCTCCCTTGGCCATGTGATTAATACTAATACAATATTTGGTCCAGTGTTTATTCCATGCATGTGTTAGGCTTCATAAAATTAAGGTTGAACCACTGATGTCACATGGACTATTTTAATTATGTCCTTACTACCTTAAACGTGTCAGTTGCAGAGTCAGAAAGCTCCCGGATTTCATCAAAAATATCTTAATTTGTGTTCTGAAGATGAACGAAAGTCTTACAGGTTTGGAACGACATGTGGGTGAGTAATTAATGACAGAATTTTCACTTTTGGGTGAACTATCCCTTTGATGACAGTTAGTTAGTTGACATATAGTTGCAAAGTTACTTATAGTTAATAGAATGTCTAAAGTGGACTATCGGAAGTGTAACCATCATTTAGTTTTGGTAACTTAATTTTAAGGATGTCCTTGTTTTATGTCTACATTTTTGAGTCGCCACTCTATGTGGAATATAAAATCCTAAAGCAAAACTAGTTTAGAACCACTGAGTCTAAGTGAAATGGCAGCGACCAATAACAGAAGTGTCACGTGCATTAAGAGTATCTTAGCCTTGTGATGTTTTGGACTAGAATCATAATGTTATCATATTAACATATAATGTATCATTTACATCTTGTACTGCTCATGATACTACATGGAGGACTGACTTATGTGGATGGAAAAAAATGTTTTGGACACAATAATGGCCTGGACACTAGTTTATTTACCACTTTGTAAACCAGGCGTTTTCTTAGAAACTATCATTCCACCCACAGATGAAAGAGCAACAAAAAAGCAAACAAAGAGGCCAACGT